AAATCAGAAGGGTGGGAACACAAGGTTGGGAAGGTGAAAACTCATAGTGCAAAAACCAATTCTTGAAAATGCACTATTTCCTCTGGGAAACATTTAAAGAATAAAGGCAGACCTAGCAAGGAAAAAAGGGATGCTACCCACGTAGAGTTTGGAAATTCTCACAAGAGACCAAACAAAATTCATGTGTGAAGCCAGAGTGTGGTGACAGCGAGATGAAATATGGTGGACCGAGGTTGAAGTTGAAGAGATTGGGAAAGTGAAAAAGTATTGAAGGAGGTTCAGTATTGGAAACCACAGCTGAGCAGGCCAGAATGGGCAATTAAAAGGACTCGACATGGAGTAGCTTTAATAAAGGAGAGAAAACGAGGAAGAAGACTGTAGGAGGATAAGCATAAAGGTAAAGATTGGTCCAATCTTGAATAAATGAATCTACCACCAGAGGCAAAGGATGTTGAACTGGAAACCTGAAGAGAAGCAGTTTGGTATTGATATTTGTGACAAATGCATCCAGAAGAGGAGTAGCGAACAGGGAGCATAACCACTGAAACATTTGAGTAGCAAGAGACCACTTTGTTGGTAGAATGTTGTTGGGACAAGATAACCAATCTGCTACAAGATTCAGGGTACCTGGGATGTGATAAGAAAAAAAAGACATATTTACTGAAACCAGGCCCAGAAGAGGAGAACCAATGTTTGAAAAAAGTGAATGAGAATGGGTGCCCCTTGTAATATTAATGTAAGAGACAACAGGTAAATTGCCTGAATGGATCATGACCAAGTGGCCCAATACTACAGGTAGGAAATATTCCAAGGCCTAGCAAACTGAAAGAAGTTCCAAAAAGTTGATGTTGAGAGAATTTTTGACCAACGTCCAACAATCAGAGATCTCCTAAAAATCCAAATATTCTCCCTGCCCTGTAAAAGAAGTATCTGTTAAAAGGTGCAAATTGAGATGGGGAAGAGGCAGAGGAACGCCTGGAGCACTTTCTTTCTAAAGTCAAGTCTTTTTCTTCTCTACCTGTGAGCGAGGTTCTATCTCTTTTGGGAATCTAAGCTTCCATGGAAGCTCTCATGCTCTGGGGTTAAGCACACTACATTGTCTTCAGTGAGTGTTGCACAATCAATGGAATCTCGTTTGGGGTCCCTTGAACTCTACCATCCTCCTATCTCCTTCCCTACAAGTCGACTTTGCCTGGTGACACATCAGAGACAACACTTTTTGACCTCAGATAGAGGAGAAGGCTGGGCCTAGATAAGGTAGGTGTTGAAAAACTTCCCCAAATGGATAAAATATAGTATGGGGGTGAGATAGGACTTCTCCAGCTTGACAAGCCATCCTACACGAGGATGTTTGTGAGAGGCTTGTTGGGATGGAACTAAGAGGAGCCAGTCATCCATATAATGATGGAACTGCACAATATGAGTGTTAAGATGGTGGGCAAAGGCTCTGACCACACAACAGACATATGGTGCTGATGCTAGACCAAAAGGTGGAGTGTGAAATTGAAACACTCAACACTCATGAACAAACCAAAGGTAATGACTGGATGTAGGAGAGACTGCGATATGAAGGTAAGTATCTGAGATGTCGACTCTGGTCCTCCAAAGACCTGGAGTGAACAACCAATGAAGCATGAGAAAAGACTCCATGGTGAACTGTGGAAGGATAATGATGCAGTTGAGGTTGGAGAGATTGATGACTGGGAAAGCACAAACAACCAGGAATAAAACCCTGTGGAAGTGTGAAAGACTTGTTTGATAGGGTCCTTGTGCAAAAGATCATGAATCGTCTCCGAGAGATGCTGTCATGAAATAGGATCCAAAGGAGGTGGGAAGGAAATGGGTCAGGAAGATAAAGGGTGGCAAAAATTGAAGGAATGGTCCTTCTGTTAGAAACTGACAAACACAGGGGTCCATGGTGAACAGGCACCACTGGTGCATAAATTGGGCTAATTGTGCCCCCACAGTGCCCATGAGACAGTAACAGACAAAACTGCCATAAAAAATGACAATGGGCATTTTGGAAACTCATCACAGAAACCTGGTAGTGGAGAGGATTCAGAGAGGGTGACAGGGAACAGAGGTAGGATGGGTTTGGGAAAGACAAGAAACAAGGGAAGAAAGGGACAAATTGTGATGCCTCCACTCGAGACACCAAAGGATCAGGATGATCCCCAAAAATAGACTGTGATAGAAAAGGGGCCAGATAAAAGATCTTGCAAGAAGGAAGGAGGTAGACACACGAGACAAGAGGGTGTCCCTGCCAAGGAGATCCCAACTACAAAGGAGCCATGTATCAAGGAATAAGGTCAAGGAAGATAAGCATGCCAATGTGGAAAAGAGAAGGGTACATGTGTCCCCCGAAAACTCCTCAGGGAAATGGTGGATAACCTCGGAAAGGAGGTGGATGGAAGAGATACAATAGGTAACATACCTGTGAAATCATGTCCAAAAAAAAGCCAAAGGAGGACAAGGGAAATCCAGAGAAGTAGAACAGGATGGTGCAACAAAGACTGTCCAAATCCTCATCATTAGAATTTGATTCCTCTTGAAATGGGAGGAGATATAGCAAGCTGCAAGATAGTTTATACCTCGTGAGGCACCATGGCTGAAACCTTCACCTCAAGAAGTGTGGAGCCCAAAGCCATAAAAGTAGTATGTGGTGATGGATCAGTAGCGACCAGATCCATAATAGAAGGCATTATAGTGACATTAAAGTTCATTATGTTAAAACAAAAAAGATAAATATTCCACAAACACGAAGTAAATGATGACAAACTAACAGTTGTCAAGACACATTAGAATTAACCACAAATGCACACAAGAAATTTATGTACAGAGCAAAAACTGAGCATGAACGCATACTGGAATGCCAAATTGAGAAGTGATGAGAGGCTCTACAGTACAGAAGGAGTCAGCTGCACTAGAAGGGTGTGTCACACTCCTATTGGTGGTAGATTGTTGCATGCTCAGTTGCATACTATAACACCGATATATACCACAATAAATTATGTGAGTGTAGGTGGGAGGTTCAAGGCAAGTGTCAAGCAAAACTTGAGCATATAGAGAGAAGCACAAGTCAAGAAAAGCTATTATGTGAGAGGAGGTAAGGTATCATATCGGAGATATAATTAATCCTGATTTCTGGAGTTAATGGCAATTTATTATCACACAAGTTTTGACTTTGTGTAAAATTGTTGTGTATGTCATAGCACACCATTTCAACAAATTTCTGAAACTGTATAGAATCAAAATTAACATTATTTTAGTACATGGATTTTTAGATGAGAAGCACATTAGATAAATCATCAAATTAGTCAACAAAATGAATTTAATAATCACCTAAAACCATACAAAATGTATTTGCATATTAACAATAATTTATAAGACTGGTTCTGTCTTATTATCATTTAAATATCATAAATTCCACTTGTCCTGTAATAGTCTTGTGCAGAATAAATCATGGTAAAATGAAAACGTCACTAAACTGACTATAGCTGACAGTTTATCCCCACCCACCCCCAAGATATGCAGAATTTAGTTGTTCTAAAGGAGATTTATAGATAAACCTGGTTGAAAATTATCCCAGATAACACCTAAGGCTTTTTGCTCATTTTTAATTAAATGCACATATGTGCTGAATGTATTATAAAAATAGTAATTTGATTTAATGTGACCCACATCAGAAATATATATATTTCTTATTATTCTTTTCTGTCCATTCAGTATATTTTTGTTAGAAATAAAAACACAGTTTTACCCCAATAAGATGACAATGATTGGGTAATATCACCTCTTGATCAATAATTATCACACATGAATAATATGCCAAAATTCCACACACACACATCATTATTATACATCAATAAAATGTCAACAGTGGTGTAATACCTTTTGATTACTAATTATTAAACATCAATACTACACTAAGCCTTATGAAACCTATCTAATATGCATTTTACAACATAACAAACACATAATTAACTAAAATCTAAATACAATTTAATTGTCTATATAACTTAACATATTTATAGGTGAGAAACAATAGAAAGTGGTAGAACAGATGTAAGGGGCAACAATATTGAGAGCAGATTCAAGAACTTGTATAGAATTCTGAATGCCAATTTAAAAGTAAACAATGGAAAATCATAGTGTATAATTAGCTCTTTCTGTTGGTTATAAACATTTAGAGAAATAAATAGTGTTGAGTGTGAAATCATATGGCTATCTGTAGAAAGTGGGCATGGCTTCTGTCAAGGGTTCCCAATATATTGATTTTTCTTTTCTTGGAACTTGCCATATGGAATTTGTATGGAGGATCCATAAACCGAGTAATTAACCTAGTTTCTGTCTATATATTAAGGTCTAGCGTATGAAAAGAATTACTTAAGTTACAAAGACTAAAAGCAACAACTTGTAAAAGCTCGTGCCTCATGGGACAACAAAACCGAAGATTAAGAGTTTTTGTAAAAGTATATTTGGAATAAAGGAATTAAAACATTGAATTATAACAAATATTATAATGCTATTTTAATTGGTAGTAAAGTTGCTTAATTAATATTTCAATTTAATTCAGTAAAACTTTGTGACATGCACAGAAATGGGACCAGTAACCATAAGGTTGACAGATTATTATATTTCAACTATTAGAAATGAGCTGTTGTTTAAAATGCTAAAAACAGAAAAATATAAATTTCCTTGAAATAAGCATTCTTTTATTGATTCATATCTCTAATTAATGTTTAGAATTTTAAGGACTGTTTTTTTTTGCACTGGAAATGAGACTCCATATCAGCCCTTTAAATGACCATGACAGCAAAAATGTTTGCCACTAACTGAAAAATAACTTAGTTTGTAATGTTAAAAAATCAATTAAGCTATATAAACCAATAACAGATACAAAATAGGACATGTTTTTCATACAAAAAAGTTCCCATTTCAAAAATATTCATAATGTATCCAAAGGCTATATTACCTTTAAAGCACAACATTTAACTTACCAGGTAGTTTTAGCTGGTCTCCAAAGGAATGAATCTCTTCAGCAATGATTGAAATGGTTCTAAAATATTGAAATCAAGTACAATGTCACATTTAAAATAATAATTTAAAAGGTAGAGCAAAAAACAGAAAATTATTAATGTTAATAATATTCCCAAATATGGTTATGGCCTACATAGCGAACAGATCATCTGGTAATTTGATGCTGGAAGGATCACACAACAATTTTTTTTTTGCTTACTTGACACATGAAGACACTTGACAGTGGATTTTATAAATTTAGAACCACAGGACTAGCAAGTAAACAACCTATAAAGAACAATAAATACATATACCTTCTGATTCATCACCTTTCAGCTATAAAACACCGAAAGACAGAGAATATGATGAATTATGAAATACTTGCAAAACATTTATAAAGCCTGTAAAAATGAGTTTTTTGTGTATACATCAAGTCTTTGAATGAAACTTTAAAAACTAATAATGTGCACTATGCCAGAAATGATGCAATCAACATTAAGTATACCATTCCACCAGTAATAAGGTAACACATCCTTCTTGCACAGTACTTCCCTTGAGAACTTTATACCAAAAGTTCATTCTTGATAGGCAAAAGAAGCACAGCAAAAGTGGGAAAGAAAGATGGATGGTTTTGTGAAGAGGTGAGTACCTATCTCAAATACTTTTCAGATAAGGGAAATGTTAACTATAGAACATGCTACTCAACTCTTCACAGAACTGATAGCTAGAATCCCACACTAAGAAGAAAGTGAAGGCAATGGTTTAGAGAAAGAAATTAGACAGATGCGCTACTTTCTGAGAACATAGCAACAGAAAGGGAAAACCTCATGGGGTGTGTCTATCATCAGAGGGGTGTGGGGTGTATGAGCTAATAGGAGACTGTATTCATCTCCAGCAGGGATTACTCTTCACCCAATACACGTAGCAGTGTGGAGAGATTCTGTCAAAAGAACTTCCTGTATAGTGCTAAAGTGTTACAAAGATAGGTGGAATGTGAAGGCTGCTCAAGTGCCTTCAATATATCCCAGTGGGTCACATCAAACAATGTTTATTAAGTGTGGTTAGGTACATATGTCAAGCCATACTGCACAAATCATCCCAGACATGTACCCTGAGAAATGTACCCACCTGACTGGTTAGAACCATCAGGAATAAGCCCGTCCTTACTGTTGAAGGTGCCCTCTACTATTCTTCCAGGAAGACAACCCTTCTCTACTTTGGATCGAGGAGTGTGTCCACTTGGTTTCATACCAGTAGGATTACACTGACCAGAAGGGTAACACTGTATCAACCATTCCAGTAGTTTGTTACAGGGGAAGCAAGTGTTCCCTCACTCCTCTAGAAGAAATCGGAACAGAGGAATTCACATAGGGGAGAACACTGGAGAAGTATGTTGACAAAACAAGAATAATTTCATCATCTACATCCCACACTGAGAGACTGTGCAAAGGGTTATCATAAATAGTGACAGCAGGAACTAGCCGTTTCGAGTAGGTTTGGAATCATATTCTTTGTTGTTATTTTTCATTCTGTTGGTGCAGTATATACACATACATAATGTTGAAGCAATACTGCAAACATACCCATATCAACAGTGGGCACAGAGCAGGGGCAGATGGACTTTTAGTTATCCCTTACTCAAGGCAGATTCTGAGAAAGAGAAATATTTCTTGTGAGGTAGCACAAGCCACTTGGCAAGTTTCATTGTCCCTAATATCATTAATCAAGAAGTGTGAGTTGACTTTTTTTACTGATGTTGTTATTTAGGGGTAAAAAGCTAAGCTGTATTAAAAAGAAATAATCAACAAATCACCTATTTGAGCTACTGGGAGGGTTGAAGAAACAAAGTTTTCAAAGTCATCTGCATCCCACTCTGCAATATCTCAACTGAAGGATATAAATGGCCAGGGGCAGAAGAAGCCATAGGATGACAGACTTGATGGGAGGTGATATTGAAAAGTAAAGGAATGTAATCTCAAAAGGAAAAAGAGACAAGTCAGAAGAGTTACTGAACCCAACCAGACAAAGTAGAAGGAGATAAAAAAAAGAGTGAAAAAAGAGTACGGGAGAAATCTGAGATAAAACACATCAGAGTGGTGTATCTTCCAAGCAAAAAGAAGAAAATATGTAAGGGGAGCAGGAGGCCATAGGTTCAGTCAGAGAATTTTTAAGGGGCCTGAGAACTAAAAAGGGGTTCTAGTTTAAGGCATTCTTGAAGTAGGCGATAAGTAGCAGATGATGCCTCCCAGGACAGGACTTGACGATACCAAATATTCAAAAGTGGTGGAAATGGAGGCCCAAAAAGTGCATCCTCCATGTGAAAGCTTTCAGGACTTTATTCAAAACAGACTTGAGTCCTGAAAGACAGAGTCCACAAGTAGACAAAGTGTAAGACCCAAGCTTCCACAGGACCAATGCCAAAGGGTGGTTCCAGAAACAACTGATTACTGAGCCCTCTGATTGATGTCTAGCCTGTTGGAAAGGGGGGGGGACACTAGAAAAGAGCCCAGGATGAGGAACTCCTTCAAAAGATTTCTCCATAAAGAAAAGGCATTAAATAAAATTGAAGGATTCTAATTTAAAAAATAAGACACCCCACTGAAGTAAATCCTAGAAACAAGGAAACCAAGTGCACTGGGCAACTGCTAAAGAACAGACAATAGTAGTATGAAGAATAGGTTTGTACAACCTTCTCCAGAAAAGCTGTTAGGGTTGCAATGCAGAACCTCAGAAAGAAAGAGAGAAAAAGGACAGCAAACTAAGAAAATAAGCAAACTGATATACACATGGGAGTAGGATGAGGATTATGCCATTGATAAGTCAATTACTATCCCAAAACCCAGCACGGGATACCGACATCCATTTTGGTGTAGAAAAGAGGATCATACTGCAGGCATGTCAAATACAATTCAAAGCCCAGACCACTAGGAACCAACATCTATGTGTGGGTAGGAAAGAGGATCATACTGGCAGCAAGTCAACTACAATTCAAAACCCAGCCATCTAGTGGGGGTAGGAAAGAGGATCATACCATCTTCACCTCAAGTTCATATAACTGAAGGAATTCTCCTACTCCCCGACCCATGATAACAATATAAGAAATTGACTGATCGATCTAGAAACCCAACATCTGGCATCAAAAAGATATGTGTAATGTAAACCATCTCACAGAAATTTAAAATGACAGGAACTGCCCCAAGTGCAGGAACATCGAGGAATAATAAGAACACTGAGGAATAGCAGAAGGGGAAGAACCATAGCAATCTGCAAGTACCTCCATCGTGACCCACTAACAGAAGTATAAATGAGTGAGGGAATAGAGACATCTATAATACATGTGAGGACTTATGTTGATTTTTTCAGCTCTAAATCCAAAATCCGGACCACTTGGAACCAACATCCATGAGAGAGAATAGGATGAGAGATTCCAATTGAAGAGGTGAACTGCAATTGTGACGGCTCCTTCCAATGTTACACAGTGGAGGATATCTTGTCATCTACACCAGCAGAGCACCACCACCCTACTCTCAGCTGAATGGTTTTATAATCATCTATGTATATGTTATATATATATTATTTGTATTTTATTAGCATATTCAGGAGGATGCCTCCATGGTCCACCACCCCAGTGGCATGGAACTGGAAAGTGGTAGGACTCTCAAATTCCACTGGAAAAAAAAAGAGGGGGGGGAGTGTGGTGGAGAGTCTGGATGAACGACAACACTGGGACAGTGCAATTGGTGACCACAAAACCCTATTTTGAAAAATAGACCATACTGATTGATTCAATACTAGGCATGGTGGGGATAGGCAGTTATCCCATTCTGCTTTACCCATGTAGTTTATAAGTGAGTACAGTCTGGGACAAGAAACTTATGAAGCAAATATATCATGAGGATAAACCAAAAAGTGATCTTGTGGAACACCCCAGCTCAGCAGCGTGCATTTTTTGGCCATGAAAATCATAATATTCAAGTCAACATAGTCTTATGGTGCAGATTTGAATGGTTAAAGAACACTTGGTCAGGCATTACTTACCACAGAGCAGGATCCAGACAACGAGTAGCAACAAATTGAAAGAAAAGAGAAGAAAAGCCCCTGAAAAGGAAGAAAAGAGAAATAAAATATAATTTACCCAGTCAAAGTCTCACTGAAGTCTGAAAATTGGCTACAGGTGAAAGATGATAACCCAAAGATGAAGAGACCAAGATCCGATGCAAATAGTGAGAGATGAACATATTAAAGAATTTCCTCCAAGGGAAGACGAAGATGAGTGTCAGATATAAAAGACTGTTTAGTGTAAGTATTATTATTATTAATTGATTTATTTTTGTGTTTGTATTGATGTTGAAGCTGTCAAAAGTTGTGTGCAATCCATTGATATTGAGGCTATAGAGTTTTATAGAAGGCTTAAGTGATAGACGTATAAATAATGCCCAGATGACTGGAAATAGAGAGAGTAAAAAGTAAAGTCCTGGGAAAGAGAAGTTCAGTGAGGGAAGAGTTATAAAATGTAAAGGTAACCATTGTAGGAGTGTAAAGCCTAATGGTTAATATGTTAAAGTGAGATTAAGAGTTTGAAAGAGATAAAGAAAATAATTTGTCTTGTCAAAGGGTGTTCTAAGCTAATGGAACCTGCCTGTGTGGACTTTGATAAAAAAGCAGAAGATTATTTGGAAGCACGAAAAAGCAGACGATTATTGGAAGTACAGGATACAAATGCAGTAACTCATGCGACAGAGTAAGTGAATTATATACGGATACTACTGCAATATATATATATATATATATATATAAAT